CCACTCACAACTTTCAAAACTTAATAAAAGAGAAGAAAGAAATTGCTTTATCAAACATATAAGCCCTGGAGGTATTTAAGATTAATCAAGTGCCAACTTTGCAAGCAGCTTCCATTTACTGTTATAATGTCAATGAAACTTTCAATACATAAGAAATGAAGCAGTAATAGATTATTGAGTGATCTATGCTTTAAGTATCTTTAAGAAATGAGATTCGTAATTTGAATGAATTACAGTATGAAACAAAAGATACAGACAAGCTGAATATTAAGAAACACTTACAAGAAAGAAAAAAGGTTAAAGTTCCCTCATGAACTAAAATTGACATACACACAAGTCAATCAACTTTTGGAGTCAAACAAGCCAAATGGAAGAACTAAGATAAACTAACATATGTATAAACTATTTTAATTTGAGAAATTTGATCTTTTTTTTTTTTTATCTTTTGCCTCTTATAAAAAAGTTTATTAAGACATTAATATCAAATATATATTTTCTTATTGGTGGAACTAAAAGTGTATCAATATTACATGTGTCAAAAAGTAAAACAGTTCTAAAGAGAATTACCATATCATTGAATAATTCCTCCAGGCGATCTATATTGACTTTAGAATTGAAACTCTGCAAATAAAACAATGAAACAAGTATTGTTAGTATACATAAACAATTTCTGAAGATCTTATGTTGACTACTAAAATAACCAAAATTAATCATATATTGATCACGGATTTGATCATGAAAAGTGCACAAACATAGTAAAACAAACTAAATCATAGAATTGCAGATGTTACCCCATCTCTATCTCAAAAAGATGGCAACAAAGAAGTCTTAAAGTTAAATTGGAATGCTCAACGAACAAGGGAATCCAATCTCAAAACAACTATAGGCACTCCCCACACAACTCATTGCTTAGATAGGCATTGTCTTTTGTTTCCAATGCTTTTTACAAGCATATCTCTCCTCTTCAGTTTTTACCTCTAAGGTTATTTCGTCACATAATATATTTTAGAAAAGAAAATGAAGAAATGTGCAGAAAAGTTACAATTCACAGCACTGATGCTTGGTGAACACTACTAAGGTGTCAAAATTTCTTTCCAAAAACACCCCCACCACTTACTCTACCATCATCACGACAACAAGAAAGAGACATCTCAGCCACCAGGTACTCACACTGAAAATCATTTCCCCTTTTATCTCCCTCTGCTGTAGAACAAACATCTAAACAAAATGAACTTTTGTTGTTGAATAAATTACCTTTTTTTCATTAGACATTTGGCCGAAGGCCTCTGCAGCAGATTGAGTTGGCGCAATGTTTCTTGCTTCATGGGCTCGTCGCTGCTTCATTCCCTAGAATAGTAAATTTAAGAAACTAAGACAATGTAAGGCTTGAAGTTTTGCATCAGTTTATGCAGTACTAATCATACTATGGTGACAAAAAAAACATCCAGAATTATTGGACCACCTACTAGCACTCCCGTTGTAATGTATATGGAGGAGTATAATCAATTTGAAATTAAAACAATTAAAAATGCATTATTGTTAATAAAAAATTGACTTCGGTGCATTTGCTAGATTCACCAACTTCCTAGAATTGCTCCTACAAAACTTCCCTTGCATCTCAGGCTTCCATTTCATTGTCCTCTTGTTTAGATACTAGTAAATAGTACATACTATAGAATGACAGACCAGAAATTCTTCATGGGGAGCTGATAGAATACCCAAGAACGGCAAGGGTACATCAGTACCAGTACAAGAAATTGAAGCACTTCAACCATTGAGTTGAGTAACTTATTATGTGATCTTCATCGATCCATCCATTGAATCGAGAAAAAATAATAGTTCATGCTAATCAAATTTCAAATAAGCTAAAATCTAGTATCCGATAGTTTATTTTATATATCACTGAAATCATATTTTAAATGAGAAATGCTGTATGATAAAGCCTAGATTAAAATAAAAATGGCGTGACACTTCTTCATATGATTTATGTAATGAGGGCTAAAATTCTTAGCAGTGGATTTCATGAAATTTTTTCTCAACTCGTAAGTTACTTGTGGTATACATTCAAAATAAGAACCTCAAAAATGTCAAAAAGTACCTTTCTGGATTTTGCCGCAGCTGCAGCTAGCTCTCTTGCTGCTAGGAAATCCTCTGAGCAGTTTCCAAAATTTCCCTCAAAAGCTTTCTTATTAGCTGTTGCAACTGCTTTCTTGGCTGCCTCTTCCTGAAATAAAAGATCAAGTTAAATTACAAGATACAAGCAGCCTCTTCTGAATTTGACTTTCAGATCATGATAAAAATTGAAAAAGCTTACAGATACAGACAACTTTCTAGCACTACAAAAACTGGAAAACAGCAGATAAATTTATGTACCATAACATACACTCGGTTAACTCTTTCCCACAGCATCTTCTTGATATTCTTCTCCTCCTCATTGTGAAGATACACATCAACGTCACAATCATCAATATCAGACAAAGTTTCTGATTCATCTTCTCTAAGTGAATCATCAAATTCACTATCTTCGGCGGCCTCATTCTCAACATTAGCCCCTGAAAGCATATTTTATTCAAAAGCTGCAATGCAAATCAGAAAACGGTCAACGAAGCCGCGCCTAATATAAGAAAAAAAAAATATGGCTCAACTAAAACACCAATTCCAATTTAGGTCTTTCTAAGTGAAGAACCAAATAAATCAATCAACAACTAGTCTACGCAGAACATCAATGCCATACATTCCTCCATAATAAGACCATTTCTCTGTTCAAAAGAAAAAAAAAATGCGTAAACGCAAACAGAATTCAACATTAAACTCCGAAATCAAATTTTAATAACCCTAGTTGTATAAACTACTGAGTGAAGAAAATAAAAAATAAGTTTTTTCATTTTCTTATAAAGTAAACAGCATTTACACATACAAAAAGTACATTGAAAGCTTTAAAAATATAATAAAAGAAAAGTAAAACTGTAAAAACCACTGAACTCACAAATTTATTGGTTCAATAACAAGTCTAAAAGTATGGATCAATTATTTTAAAGGATCATTGCCTAGAGTTTTTCATTACAAAAATGAAGAGAAAGAACATATTTTGTAAACGATAGAACAGAGGAAGAGCGAATACGAATGATTAGAACAGAACACAGAAGCAGAGAATTGAGAATGTGTTTTGGTGAAAAGAAACAGAGTATGAATGCAGACCCTAAATGTTTGGAAGACAGAGGAATACGTGAATCCAGCTCTCTCTCAAATGCTCTGTTTATATTTAACATTTTCTCACACGCTCTTTTAGATTAATTTATTAAATGGGCTATAAATTATATAATTCATGTTGGGTGCTCATTTTTGCATCAATTCACTCTTATTATTCATTATCTTTTATTATAAATTAATATACATGTTACAGCAAATTATATTTTATTCTTATAAATATCAATAGTTTAATTTAAAATATTACAAAACAGTGATTTTTCAAATAATTAAGTTAATAACTAAAAGAAAATATAATTTTTTCAAATTTTGAAAATATAGACCATTTTTAATATTTTAAAATATATAGAACTAAATTATCATTTATTTTAAAGATGGAAATCAAATTTTAATAAAACATAAGAATAATAACTACTTCTATAAATGCGGAACAAAATATAACACTAACCATTTTTTATGATTTCCAATTCATTTGAATCAATAGAAAAATTGACAAAGTGTATGTATTACAAAATAAAGTATCGGTTGGAAGAATCGCTCAATGGAAAACATTAATGTATTCCAATTGTTTGAATATCATGAATATATAATATGTTTTATTACTTAATATTTATGTGAAATTTCATTATGTAATATTGGTTTCCAATATTGTTTGTGTCAACTATTAAAAGGTTTAATTTCTTTTATTAGAATGAATTCACCTCATTGTTATTAATCTTGAACTTAGTACTTTATTTGAAGAGAAAGCAATTGCTATTAATAACGAAGAAAAGAAGGCGAGTCAATTAAAAAACAATACTTTAAGCATCTTTTTATGCGTATGTCACTTATAGAGGTTCAAATGGAGATGTAACAAGTAACCATACCACAGCGATGTTCAAATCTACCTTATAGATGCGATTACCACTATCTTTTTTTTTTTTTTTTTTTTAAAAAGTAAAATGCCATATAAAAGACTATTTTAATATATATTGCATATAACTTTTTAATAATAATTTGTACTCAAAATGTAATTCATCATGATCTATTACACTAACTATTATCAACTTAATAGCATAAATTATTACACTAATTAAGTGTGGTTTTTTGTTGTACATGTCCCTGATTTAATCTATAATTTTCTGATTAACAATTTTAGATGTCCTTTACTCGAAAATATTTACAATATCTATTGAGAGGAATGAAGTTTTAGAATCACCATTGCACATTTGATAAATTGCTGTTGCCAATTCCCTCTTCGTGAATGTGAGTGGTAGTGAATGTGAATCAGCATATACGGATTTATACCAAACGAATGACATCAGTTATGAAACTACAAACAAATACACTAAAAAACTTTATCCAAATTTTTCTCAGAAATATCCTTTCAAAATTATTTGACATTGTCAAACATTAAATATATGTGTAAAAGTTCAAACTATATTATCCTCGTAATGAGGAACTAGTCTCTTGTGCTTTATCCACATTGTCTCCGAAGCTAACAAGTTAATGCCTTTTACATTTCTATAATAATAATGAATATTAAAAGGAAAAATATTCGGGTAACAAGTAATTGTATAATAATCAATACTTTCACATTCACCTGTCATTTGACCGGGAGAAACAACTGAAAGCAACACTAGGAAGACTCAGCAGAATTTTACCAATTTAACTTTTGTCATGTTAAAAAGAAATGGTTGGAAATAAGTAGATTTTAATTTTAAACACAATCTAACCCCTATCTTGTGTTGAATATAGAGATGCTGGTAAAACCTACCTAACAATTTCTTGGTACTATAATTCACAAGCTTTCTTTAAAAAGCAATTGGAATTGATTAAATAGGTAAACTCATTAGAGATACTTGCTAATCAGATGGCAACTTAGGTTTCAAGGAATTTTGTCTGACAACTATGGTTCCACTGCTGCCAGCCACGTTGGATACCAATGGATAAAAAATCAGATAATCAAAGCAGAAAGATCATCTGGCATCTTTCATTAATAATCATAATCGTTATAGCCGTATCCATCATCCTCAGGGAAATATTTATCTGCAATATTATCAGTAGACAACCCACTTTGATACATCTCCCCCATATCATCTTCAAATTCATCCACTGATCCCATCTCATCGTCTTTTTTGTGCTCAAATGACTGTGAGTTGTCATGATTATCTAGGGGCGGATCAAATCGTGCTTTCTTTTCTTTTTTGGGATCATCCGTTTTTTCCTGTTTGATAATATTAGAAACAAAGTTAGATTCAAGAAAAATTCAATGTCTTGATTTAAAGAATAGCATAGGTTAATTGTCAGAAGACATCTTTCCAAATTTGTCTTTTGAACATGTTGACACGAAGAAGTAACTCAAGAATGAAAACAGGCAGATAAGAAAAAGCATGTAGGCCTGATTGGACAGGATTTTCAATAAACAAGTATAGGAGAAAAATATTGAAGTAAACTTCTCTTACAAACAAAAACTGACTTTTTAACAAGTCAAAATTAGGTTTTATAGAAGCCAAAATCATTAGCTTACCTAAAAATATGATTTTACAGTATGCATAAGCTAATTTTAAACATATTTCATTTCACTTTTGTATTTCTTCTTTTGTCAATGTCTAATGAGAAGTTTATCAAAATCATGTTTTAATACGTAATATTTTCGGGTGCTAGTGGCACTTAAAGCGTGTCAATATTACATGTGATATGAAGCAAATAAGTTCTAGAGAGAAGTACCAGTTCATTAAATAATTCACCCAGGCGATCAAAATTGACTTTAGATTTCAGACTCTGCAATTGCTACACAAGCAAACAAGTAGTTTAGTTATATATAAACAATTTCAGAAGATATTAAGTTGATATTAAAAAAACTGAGTCAAATATATTGCTCAAGGATTTTATAAATAAAGCTGCATGCACTAATAACACAAACTAAACTATTAAGGATTGACACATTCTCTATCTGAAAAGATACACAACAAAAGCCCTAAATCCAAATGCTCATGAGCACGACATACAAGGTCAAAGCAACAGTGAGTACTCCAACACTCTCATCTTCGAAAGACCTTGCTTTCTTTCCTATCATATCTTCTTTTTTAGGTTTTTACCCCAAAGTTTTTTATACTTGACTACACGTGGAAACAGAAATAATTTATTGATAGCGATCATATGATTACATTCCGGATGCCTCATTTTAAACAATCATCCCTCCATAATAAAGAACAATATTTAAAGATATTTTATCCTAATAATGAGATTTTGAAGATATTTTTATCCTAAAAAACTGTAATTTACAAAACTCCCCCTTTGTATCGGATATATGCATATAGTTACCTATTGCTTTTTTACAAATACAATGGAAATGGGCTGTAACAATATATAGAGAAAATGCATGTTTATTGTTGAATAGATAAATACCTTTTTTTATTAGACATTTGGCCGAAGGCCCTCTGCAGCAGATTTGAGCTGGCCCCATATTTTTTGCCTCATTGGCTCGTCTCTGTTTCATTTCCTGAAATAGTGTATTTTAACAAACCCAAAAAAAAAATTATAAGCTTGAAGTCTTGCAGCATGAATCGTACAGTGTAAACAAAAAAATGCATACTATTGGATCCACTCTACCCCATTAAAATGTATATTGATAAGCATATCGATTTGAAAGTAAAACAATTTACAAAATATTTGCAAATCACAAATTGAATCAATTCATCTGCCAAACTCACTAACTTCGTAATGCGGCTGCTTTAAATTTCCCAATGCATCTCAGGCTTCCATTTCATTAGTCTCTTAGTTTATATACAAGTAAATAGGTGATTTTAACTAATGCATATAGTCATAACCTTCTTATTTACTCTTTCTATTCCGAGAGAAATTTACCCAAACTAGGTCATACTATACAATTCCAAGACCAAATTCTTAGTATCTCAATAATCTAATCTCTTTTGATATATAATCGGGTCCAACTCAACAAAGTACACTCATACGGCAGGAGAATCAGGCCTGTGGTGTTTAGAAATCAAATTTCTCCTTTCATCAGACCTTGGACCTCTAAACAACAAATAGCATCTCATTCCTGACATTAGGACTGCAGCAATGACAACCTCTCACTAACAGACAGAATTGCAAACATCAAATAAATGCACACCAACATCGGGAAGCTGATAGAACATCCAATTAATGGCCGATTTTATCAACAATAGGGGAAAAAAGAGCTTAAGTTCAACAAAAACAATTCTAGATCTTGCAAGCTCCTCAGAGACCCGGGATAGAGTCCCCTTTTCAAACGACAATTCAAAATGCATATAAACCTGCACCTGAAAACATGGCTGAGGTAAATTTGTTGCCTCCCCTTCTAAATTAACCTTCCAGACCATGGAACTCTCTGGAGGAAAGTTTTACATGTAAAATCAATACAGGTCTTTCCTCGTATTCTAGTAGTGTCCATGCTTCCCCGATTCAATAGACAAACTAATTTTTCAGTGGTAATGATCACTTTCCCAAAATTATTGATAGCTTACTCATTCCAAACTAAGGCCAAAACATGCGAAACATACTAATACTATCACTCAATTGTAACACTAGGACAATTATGTAACTTATTATATGTTGATCATCTAACCGATGAATTTTGAGAAATCCATTGTTCAGAACATCAAATTACAAATAAACTCACTACTGATAAGCCAAATCTATAAGCAATAGTTTTTAAGAAAATCATGTTTTATGTTCATTAACATCGAATGAATTAACAAAGCATAGATTAAAATCAAACTGATATGACACTTCTTGACATGGTTTATGTAATGAGATAAAAATCTAACTATATTTCATGGATTTGTTATCTCAAGTTAATTGTGGTATAATTTAATAAGTAAGAACGTATCAAAAAATATTCAGAAAGAACCTTTCTGGATTTGCCACAGCTTCAGAAGCAGATGCAGCGAGCTCTCTTGCTGCAAGTAAATCCTCTGACAGTTTTCAAAATTTGCCTCAAAGCTTCTTTAGCAGCTGCAAGTGCTTCCTTGGCTGCCTGCTCCTGAAAGTAACATAAAACTTGAGTGAGATCCAGTGCAGATTAAGCTTCCAATAAAGTGAAACAGAAAACCAAGGACAAGAAGTACAAGTAACAGCACCCACTCCTGAATGACTTCAAATCATGATACAGAGTGAAAAGAAACTAAAACAAATTTATCTAGCACAACTAGAAGCAAAAAATAGTAGATACCATTTCTTTACCTCAAGATACTCCCGATTTGCTGCTTCCCACAGTATCTTCTTGATCTTCCTCTCCTTCTCATCATGAATGTATAAATCAACGTCTTCATCATCAATATCAGATAAAGTTTCTGATTCATCTTCTCTAAATGAATCATCATATTCACCGTCTTTAATGGACTCATGCGCCACATTAGCCCCTAAAAGCATTTTTGTGCAAATAGGTAATGAATACAGAGGAATCTACATGCTAGCAGAGTGAATGAAATAAGAGCACCCACCAATACCTTCTGGCACAGGCAAATCTTCTCTATGGCTCTTAAACTGATCATTTGATGCATTCGCCAACTGACCAAAAGTACCAGAAAATAATAAAGATTTAGAAGTCGTGCATGCATATGGGTCACATCTAAAATTTATGAGCCAATGAGCCAAGTTGTTTGCAAAAACATACAGTTGTCTGGAAATTGGAATTAGTTTCAGATGACCATATGTCTGGATCACTGCTTGAAGAATGGTTTCATATAAGATAAAGAACTAAATGAGACTTAAAGTTTTCTACATGGCCACATTTTGTTAATGCTTCTCTTCTCAGGAGTATTCTTGCTAATGAGGGGGGTTACAATATCATGATATCAACTAGACAGTTTGCGAACATGCACAAATAAAAATTACTATTTTGCTGGATATCTATCGCATCTCCTACTCTTCTGATGGATGCATCAGGTACAAGTAGAATAGTAATTTGATTTGATCAGTACTATTTAAGGAACTTAAAGTATGGGTTTGGTGTTCCGTTATGATATTTGGCACCAGTATGTTTTTGTCTCTGGAGTGATTTTGTGGACATAGATTCTCTTTTCTCTTCAAAGATGAAACTCAACTTTTAAGAAAATATTATGAATGTATAGACCTTATTTAGTTCATGAATCGTTAAACTTTTCCAATTATATCAATTCTTTTAGAAATTTAACTATGAGGCAATACAAATAATTTTGCTTCTTTCTGTACAAGCAAGCCCTAGTGAATATTATGAATCTTTTAATGCAAAAAGTTAAATCAGAGAAAAGGAAAAATTAAAAAGAATACCTGTAAATAAAAAGCAAACTACCACACACAATACCAAGTCAAGGAAAACTTACATCAATGCTTCATCAACACTCTCTTTGAGAAGTGCCCTTTTCTCTCTTTCCCTCTCAGCACGCTGGAATGCAGGAGGATCCGAACCACCACCAAGTCCCCCGGAGAGCTTATCTAACTGTGACATATCAATCAATTCAATAGTCAATGCCAAAGGCAATGTAGCTTAGAAAGGAACCATCTTGATGATGAAGAAAGTACTCACGTCCTTATAGCATTCTTCACACAATCCAAGTGCAAAATGGAAGCCCCACTGTCCTTGTGCTCACATAGTAGATCTTTGGAAGTAACCCCTTTCAATTCACCTTCTGGCATTACTGTTGGATTTTTTTCTTGCTCTTTTGCCAATGTATCCAACTCCTCACCTATAACCACAAAAGGTTCATGAAAATGTTTACTCACTGTCAAATCTAAGATAGTGAATTCAACCACTGGTCTTAAACACATCAGTATCGTAATAGACCATGTCATTAAAAGGAAGTAGAAACATACTGTCAAGCTAGAACATTTCGTATCTCAAATTCAACCAATCGTTTGGTCAATGTTGCTTTCACATACATGGCGATTCTAAGCTGCATTGAAAATAAAATCAACGGACATCCAATATAAAAAAAATATTAAGGCTCAACTAATATCCTTGAAAGTTAGATGATAGTCGTGAAGCAACAATTACATCAGCAAATGTGGTAAACTAGTATATACAGAAGATTGTGAAATATGTCACGCTATTATGGCAATTCTCTCAAGAATAGATATTCTTAATCATAACTAGGATATAAAATGTAATACTAAAATCAAAGGAAAACTTGACTTGAGAAAAAAGGAATTAGAATAAATTTGAGAGTGATTTCCCTCTCTTAGATCACATTTATAATACTTTTGTGACATCAGATACAATGTATGAGAAGAAAGAGAAGGAATATGAAAAGATATATCTTGGAACTAAGTACCACACAAAGAAACAACACCTTTTACAATAAATCCTGCTTAAGACTATTTACTCTAACAATTTGTATGACTTTTACATTATACCAGACACATATGATACAAAAGATAAACAACCGTAGCACAATATAGGAATTGTTGTAAGCTTGGAATTGGCTCCAATACTTTAGGATACTTCATCGACACTTATCAATGAAGTATCTAATCTATAAAGCAGTAATACTTTATGATCACAATAAAGTATAATTTTTTTTTTTTGACACTGTTCAATACATTGATTTTAATTTGAGTTCATACAATAGCATCATATTTTATTATGTTTTTAAGAATTTTTATACATTTTTAAATATGCATATATCACATATCATATCTTATTATTTTAAAATAGCTTATTGCCATGTCATAGTATTGTATCCATGCATCGACATGAGTCAAAAGAATTATATCAACTTCCACCTAATCTTCTTAAAATTGTCCTCTTGATGACTCTTGTCGTTTAGGAAAACACGTGCTTGTATTTGTAGTCATGTAGCCAATAAAGTGCTTAACATTTGTTGCTTTGGTTCATTTAGGGTCCAAGTTGCTTTCTTTCAACTTTACGGCTACTATTATTTTGTCACTTTCCATGGATGATAGGCAAGGAAAAGGAGTGTTGAAGGTACACTATAGGAAGAAAAATAAAACAAAAGCAGTTAACTAGTTACAAGTAGCTATTATCTGATATGAGAATGTATTAAATATATTATCTTTATCTTTTATCTTTAAGTTAGTTTTATTATTTTTATTTGTATTTTGGCTTACCATATTTCTTCTATTATAAATAGAAGAAACCCCTATGTTTTTCAACACAGAGATTAATCTCATACCTAGCTTTTACCATATTCACAAGATAATCCTTCTGAAGAAGTCTATATATTGTCATGTCAGGAGAGTTAGAGGACTTTTTTTTAATTGATGTTTGTGATAGGGAGAACATTGTAAATAATAACAATGAACATATATCTCAAAGGGAGCGAAAGAGCATCTCTAATCAAGCATGCCAATGAATTTCAAAACAGAAATCAATAAATTATGAATAAATTTATTGATTATCTTCAACACTTATGAGGAACTGTATATCTTGTAAAAACAATACCCAGAAAGCGACATATGACAATAATAATAAAAAATAAGTTACAAGGTAGGAAAATTTATCATTACTTACAATATCGGGTTTAGAGCATTTAATTCCATGTGCAAAAGCAGAAATGTATAATGCCGCACCACATAGACCACTAGGTTTCCTCCCTGTCTGTTTTCTAGCATTAGCAATTCAACATTCTCGTAATAAAAAAAGTTTATACTTCACACATCCCAAATTAAGGCTTCCTTTGTCCAATCTAAAACATAACTAAGAACAATGCTAGAACAAGGTTAAGATACCTGCATCCAGTCTCGTTTCATACTTGCAACATGCTCAGAGCAGTATCAGAGACCGCCTTACTCCCTCGCTTAATCAAATCTACATGACATGACATTAAGCTATTATTCTCCTCGGTCAAAGAAAATAACTGGATAAAATTTAAAATAAAATATATTAAACCAACAGGTTAACTTTTGCCAAAGAAAGATGAATATTTTTTACACTAAAAGATACAATTTGATTCATCTGAATTACTTATACTTTTCTAACAGCAGAGCAAAAACACCTATTACACTATTCGGCAAGGGAATTCTCCTTCCATATCAGGAAATTTTAATTTCATGTTCAAATAAAACATAAAAACCACAAATAATTCCCTTGCTATATTCTCAATTTATTTATTGCTATCATAGGTCCAGAGGAACTCTTTGAAGGTTTAGATAATGAGAAAAGGAACAAGAATAAAGTCTTGCAAGTGAAACACTATCAAAGAATACAAAGGAGAAGTTTTATTTTTTGCTAACAATCATAAAGCTTAAATGCTTTAGCGGGAATACATCATTACAGGGTGTGTGGGATTCGTGCATCATGCACCAAAAATGCATTTAATCTTCATCCCTATTAATGTCCAGAAAGTCGCACCACTCATTATAATCAGAGAGATAGTCTCCACTAGGTCTATAAAGAGTTTCATTTGTCTAAATTCTCTCAAACGATTTGTTTTCTCTCTCTCTCTCTTAAAATTACACCACACACAACCAACAAAAGTTTTAGTTATCCGCTTATACAAACTGAGCTGAAAAGAAAACACTCACTTTTAGCATATCTATGAAATAACAAGACTAGGATCAATAGGCTTTTGAACAATTGGGTGCTCTCCAAGACTCAGCACTTCACAAAGCTGCAAGAAAACTGATCCTAGACCATAACTGCACATCCAATACGTGAATAGAAGCAAAGCAACAATCAGAAACACAAAAAACAGGGATACATTGACAAAACATTAACTAAAATATGGGAGAAATATAACCAGTAGACTCCAATAACAAAGAAAACCATACTCACACATCTATTCTTAAATAATTTGAAAAATCAATAAGAAGGTACGGCTTGTTGTTGTGCCTGCAAGAAAAGGAAAAACAATTTCAGCACAAAAAAAAAAATGTTGCAATACGACCAGTATAGTAGACTCATTATGCTAAATCAAAGGTGAAAAGTACAATCCATTGAACTCATTGCTCTTCAACCACAGTCGTAGAGCACTATTCTCTACCAATTAAATGCTCATAAACA